GAAATGTAGTTATATAGAAATTATTCATAATATTGTTGCAATTTTTTTGTAAGTTTGAAATTCCTTTAAGATAATGGTTTCTAGAAGTCTCTGTTAAGTGTTACCACATTAATATTGCCTAATCATAAATTACTTACAGTATTCAAATTTACATATTTCTGGGCCCATACTATGACCACATAAAAGGTAAACAAATATATCACCATGTAGACTTTTCCAAATAGGGAGAAGCCATCAATAATTATTCTATTTTTGTTTAAGAACTAGCTTACAACTTTCACAGGCAGTATCATAAATCCTTTAAAAATATATTTTTTTAAAAAACAGATGGTCCCCAACTTACAATGGTTCAACTTAATGATTTTTCAAGTTTATGGTGTTGCAAAGTGATAAGCATTCAATAGAAACAGTATTTTAGATACCCATACAACCATTCTCTTTTTCGTGTTCAGAAGGTTATTCAATAAAATACATGAGATATTCAACACTTTATTATAAAATAGACTTTGAGTTGGATGATTTTGCCTAACTGAAGTCTAATGTAATTATTGTGAACATGTTTAAGGTAGGCTAGCTAGGCTAAGCTATGATATTTAGTAGGTTATGTGTATTAAATCCATTTTTAATTTATGATATCCTCAATTTATGATAGGTTTATTGGGAAATAAACCCATCATAAGTCAAGGAGAATCTGTACTCTTGTTCATAAAAATATGTGGAAATTATTACAGAGATCTTTTAAAGCACTTTTGTGGATCAAAGTGGTTCTGGATAATTGATACATTGAAAGATCATCTTTTAAAAGTATTTTATTATGCAAACTATAAAAATTGTTATTTTAGATTAGTATAATATTCTACTTCCTAACTATAGTTAGTTTAGAATTACTGTCTTTCCCTTTAGTAGATTATAATCCACAGTTGTCATAAATACCAAAATTCAATAAATATTCTTGATTTCACAGTTTAGAAGGGCAGATTGAAATCATAAATTTACTTTAGACATTGCAATTTTAGCATGACACCCTAATTTAATATCAAATTTTGACACCTCTGAATCTCATTCAAGCCATAATAATCCATTTTTAAATGCAAATCCTAAAAAATGGGTTTCAGCAGAGGATGAATTTGAAACTTCAAGCTGGCTAGCCATGGCTGGGAGGACATGCCAGTATTTACAGAGTTATGATACACATATATTTCTTTTATAAAATTATTGACAAAAGGCATAAGATGCTATAGCTTATTTCTGAGATAAATCATAGTCTGATGAAAGTACTGTTTATAAGAGAAGATAACATGGCAAAATGTTCCTCCTCTCTCTGAGTTACTATTCATTTATCTTAAAATACCTGGGTAAGTAAAAAGAAACAATGTAAAGTTTTAATGACTTCTCTAAATAAAAATGAAATTCATAAGAGTCAAAATCCCTAGATAAATTAAATTTTTTAACTAAAAATGACCACTCACAAGCAACATCATTGGATATTAGGACAGCTAATTACAACACACAGCTGGTATTCAGTAGCTGAACAATTGTCTTAACCCTAAAATGCAGGGATGCTTCAAGATGCCCTAGGGAGCAAAGCAGATTAGTATGTGATAAGAAACCCTTAGACACCCAGTTTAGGACTCAACACTTGAGCTTCATGAATCAATACAAACAAATTTACTCGATCTTTAACTGGGCAGAAACTATTTCCTTAGTTTCTTCAATTCATAGAAATTTAGTTTTGAAAGAAACATCTAGAAAACATAAGTCCATCTGTCTGTTTTTTACAAAAGTGAATTCATCTTCTAACTCAATGTCATTTGGTTAAGTTAGTGGCAGAAATATGACAGCAACTTAGGTCTTTTGTTCCACTTCCAGATCTATCCCTGATGCACTCTGCTATCTCATTCTATTTTATGTGAACACAAAAAAGTGTGACTCTTAAAAATACAAGTTTTCTGGATTTTCAACCTTTAATGAAACCCTTTAAATAAAAATTTAATACTTGCTCCTCTTTGAAAGATCTGATTTTCTCAATTCATATATTACAATTATTTATTTATTTATTTATTTTTTTGAGACAGAGTCTCACTCTTTTTCCCCAGGCTAGAGTGAGTGCCATGGCGTCAGCCTAGCTCACAGCAACCTCAAACTCCTGGGCTCAAGTGATCCTTCTGCCTCAGCCTCCCGAGTAGCTGGGACTACAGGCATGCGCCACCATGCCCGGCTAATTTTTTCTATATATTTTTAGTTGGCCGGTTAATTTCTTTCTAATTTTAGTAGAGGCGGGGTCTCGCTCTTGCTCAGGCTGGTCTGGAACTCCTGAGCTCAAACAATCCGCCCGCCTCGGCCTCCCAGAGTGCTAGGATTACAGGCGTGAGCCACCGCGCCCGGCCTATTACAATTATTGAATGGGAAGAGAATAAAGATAATTAAAATTTCACAATACATTCCTTTTACTTGCCTTAATTTGAGCACTAAATATTTAAAGCCGTAATTTTGAAGATCATTCATTTATGAAGAACTAATCCATGCTACTTGCTTTGTATTGAGAAAATGATTTAAATAATGGAAAATTTCTATTTTTTAATTTTATTTTTATACCAAAGGCTTAAATAATACCATCGACCCTTGCAATTAATGCAAGAGAACTAAGGAGTTTTTCCTAACTTGTCTTATCTTGTATATTATTGATTTAACATAGTTTCTTATATTTCAATAAGAAGTAAGGCAATCTAGTTAAGTGACACAAGTACAAAAGAGGTCACAAGGTGACAATGAAATGTACAATGAAAATGTACAAATTTTTGATGTCATGATAGTGTTCTTTTTCTAAGAATAAATGTAATAAAATACTGACAGGAAATCTAAACTGAGCCATGATCCTGTATTTGAATTTCAATTAACATGAGAGTCTATCTGTATTTTGAAGCGAATTTTATTGCAGATGCCTCTTAATTACACAAATTGAAAATCTGGGTTCCAACCCTCCCAATACAAGGAGGATTTAAGAAGCAAATATTCTTCCGTCAAAATCAAGTATGCAAAAACTCTCATGATAATTTGGCAAGAACAAAGCACATGGGAGCCAATCGCTATGAAGAACAACTGTCCACTGTCAAGCCCTTTTAATTCCTTGGTACTTAAAGTATGGTCACCAGCAAACATCAAAGTATGTCAGAAATTCAAAACCAGGTCCCACCCCATACCTACAAAATCATAACCTACATTTTAAAAGGATTTCTGAGTAATTCATATGCATGGTTTGAGAAGTACTGCTTTAAATTACATTTGGAGAAAGCATGAGGGAGAAGGAGTGAGTGGAAACCATTACATTTATATCTCCATTTTCTCACCTAACTAGACATGTCACAGTACTAGGTATACAATATAATTTTATATACTACTGGATCTGTCAGGCACTATGTGAGGACTCTTATATCTATTATCATGTTTATATCTCACAACAAACCTATGTGATGGGAACCGTTATTGACATTTTATAATGAAAAAACTGGGATTTACAAACGTAGATAGGCCAAGTTCACACAGACAATAACTGGTAGGAGGCAGTCTCACTGAAGAACTTATGCACTTAATTATTATATCTTATTATCTAGCAAAAGGCTATGTGGACATTCCAACTTATATTAAAATGATGCCGATTTTTGAATGGAGAACATACAAATTATACAAAGAATACAATGGAAAAAACCATCTGCACTAGATTTGAAAGCAATATTATAGAACATGAATCTTAAATAGTTTAGGCTTTTAAAAGTCTCCATATTTGCCAATTTGTGGCTTTTAAAATGGTAAAATATGAAATGAGAAAAATTTGGATGGATACAAGTCTTGCTACTCACAAACCAAATAAGTTTAACTTAATCCTCTACTCATGAAAATATAGAATGAGATATTAAAATTAATTATAAAACTATTTAGGTGTTCTGATTATCATATACATTAGAAAATGTTTATTCATATCTGGAAAGATACATGTCTCTCAATTAATCTGGAAAGCAAAGTATAGAATCAGACAGATACCAATAAATGCTTTAAAAAAAAATTTCTTTCTTTAGTTATAGCTATTTCTTGATAAATTATAAAGATAACAGATGCTGCTCTATTCACACTGGTGGTGGGGACCAAAAAATGAGCAAAATATAAAGGAAATACTACAGTGATTTTTCTTATATTCAATTTCATAACTAATATGATTAAAAATAGCTGACACACTGAACCATCGCTTATTGTGAGGCACTGCCACAAGGTATTTTTTTTTAACTCTAGTTTAATCTTAACCATGAAGTAAGGATTAGCTTCAGGATTTAAATCCAGGTAGGCTGGCTCTTGTTTTCACAATTCATGCACATAACTTTAGAAAAAGCTTTCCTTATCTCTCAGTGTATTTAACATATTTATGATTTTCTCCCTCTTCAAAATAGAATATACACATAATTTTCTCTTTGAACTCTTTTAGAGATGCATATTATCATACCTCTGTATTTAGTGATCTTGTAAGTGAGATAAATGCCTTAGGTTTATTTGATCAATATATATGAATTATGCCGCTAGTGCCTAGTTTCTAGTTTTTTCATTCAAAAAAAGACTGAAAGATAAACTGTAATTTGTTTCCTTGCACCATCTAGTGGATTTAAATGACAACTGCGGCAGTTTTATAAAAGATCACAAGTCAATCACATAAGTCAAATTTTCAAACGTATCCAGAGGACCGTTTCTAAAATGATATTTCGGATCATACCACAACAGTGCACGTAATTATTAACTTTTCCAGAGGAAACTAAACATGGCTGAATTCATTAGCGAATTTTTAAATTCACATATAAATTAACATAAAAGCATCCTTGCAATCTGTTCATAATCAGAGGTAATGAAAGTGAGATACAGTTTAGTTCATCCCACTCTTTTTCATAAATTCAAACGCACTCTGGGCAGCTACGCGTAGGAAGCCCTGCGAGTCTGCGCGGAGCAGCGCGCAAGCGCGCTGAGGAGCGGAAGCGGGGAGGCGGGGCTAGGCCCGACTAGCGAGCGGAAGAGGCCCGGGCGGCTGGGTGAGGCGCAGAGACGGTTTGGCGGTGAGTCGTGGGCTAGGCGCAGGTCACGGCCTCAGAACCCGGGAGACGCCAAAACAAACTGAAGGACTTGGGATTTCCGAGCAGCCGCCGCCGCTGCTGCTTCTGCCGCCGCGGACGTCACCGTCCCCACCGCCGGAGAACGCGGCCCTGAGAGGCCTCTAGGCCTAGGCGCGGCCCGCGGAGCCAGACGCGTTGCTGCCGTGAGTAAAAGAAGCGCCTTCTCCACGATCACTTACAAATTAAAATGGAGGAAATTTCGTTGGCTAACCTGGATACTAACAAGCTAGAGGCCATCGCTCAGGAGATATACGTAGACCTGATAGAGGATTCCTGTTTGGGATTCTGCTTTGAGGTACACCGGGCAGTCAAGTGTGGCTACTTCTACCTGGAGTTCGCAGAGACTGGTAGCGTGAAGGATTTTGGCATTCAGCCAGTGGAAGACAAAGGAGCGTGTCGCCTCCCTCTTTGCTCCCTTCCTGGAGAACCTGGGAATGGGCCTGATCAGGAGCTGCAGCGCTCACCTCCGGAATTCCAGTAGCTGCAACATGAGAGAGTCCGAGAGTGACCAAGACAATAACATAGATTGGTCCTGTGGCTTGGAAGAGTAAGCTAAAAAAAAAAAAAAAAAGACAAAAATCCTAATTCCCCTTGAAGATCCTAGCATTTTAAAACCCAAAGTGGTGGAGAATTTAGGAATTCAGATCCTTTTTTAAGTGTATTTCCTGGGGTCAGATCTGAAACCCTGGGCAGGAGGAGCCACAGTCTGCATATTGATCTCTAAACACACCAGGATGTGCGCAAGATCCCGTAGTGCCCCCCAGTGCACAGGTGAGCAGTTGTGTGCCCAGCATATAAAACCCTTTGGTTCCTCAGCCTTTCTGTCTGCCTGATATCAAGGGCCTCCTGGACAGTTTGGACATTACTGCTGGTCAGGCCATAATCGGTGGCCTTCAGTGGGACTGCTCCTCTGATCTGTGAGCCTTTGGGTTTCTCTGAAATAAAGGTGTGCGATCTGGATCCTAACAATTTCAACTTGGGAAAACCAAGAATAAGAATTCCCAATCTAATTTGATAGGAGTGTTCTGTGGTCTTGACTCCGACAAGAAGAAAAGGTCAAAACCACCTGTTTGTCAAAGGTCCTGTATTCATGATTTCAACTGACTTGGGGACAAGGCCTACCTAGCCTTTGGCTTAGCAGAGCCCTCTTTCTTGCTTGCCTGGTGGCCTAGGCTTGGCAAATGGACAACTTAGTTGTCCAGACAGGCTGAGGATTAAGTTATGATCCCCTAGGGAGGTAGCAGGGACCTCTGCAACTATGCACGATCTCTCAAACTGCAAGATTTATATCTGGATGCATTATGCTGTGGACCTGTGTTTGGTGGGGCCATTCATTTCCTACTCTGAGTTACTGGTTACCTAGCCAGTCGGTGGGTGTGACTTGGCCATTATGCCAGGTTACTACCTGCCTCCCATCCCAGGGCAGGACTGAACTATAGAAGAGCATCATGGCTGTGCAGGTGGCTGTGGCTTAAAAACAGCCCAGAGGGGACCTCTTCCAGCTGCCCTCAATAATGTGAATGGGTTAGTGCTAGGAGCCAAGGAGCAGAACTGTATCATCTCTCATCTGACTGTTTAGAATCTTGTTGAATGCCCCTGTTCCTTTGGTTGGGCAGTTAGAACTTGGCTGTAGTGAACATCCAAACTGTCACCGCCTTGTCTGCTCCTCGCAAGGGGCAGTCCTTTCCACTCAGTCCCCTCGGATCTTTTTGACAATAAGAGCTATCTTTTTGTTGGCGGAAGTCAGGGAAAGACCTCCAGAATTCCCTGGCTTCAGGGAACGGGATAGAGGAGGATGGGAAGTAAGAGCCACATATCAAAACTACCCTCCACTTTACTCCTTGAGCAAGGTTTATGAAGTGTAAAGGGGTGGGAGCCCCAAGATGAGCAAGAACCGGTGCTGCTTTATTTGAAATGTTTTCTTACCTCATTCTGTGCTCCAATAAGGGTCCTAGCCTCATGTGTCTGGCTTGGCTCCATGTTCCTCCTGTCCCTTGCTCCACTGCCTATCTAGTGCAGCTCATGACCCCAGATGCTGCTTGCCACTCCAGCTTTCACATTTACCAGTTTCAGTTCATCTCTCTACCGCTTCTGAAACCTGCCCGGTTTCTTTTCCCTTGACCTCCTTTAAGATTTTTTGTTTTTGTTTTTGTGGAAGACTCAGAGGAAAATCTTAAGCTTTCTCTGTTGGGGTTGGAATTGGAAGAGAACTTAATTTTTTGTATTTAAAAGGCAGTGTCATGCCTTAGCATTTCTCATATAGGACTGCCTTGCTAGTATGCCCTCCTGCTGTGTCTTACTTCATGAGAACAACTATCTTCCCACCTTTGCTGGATACTGCCTCTTAGGACTAGAGTAGAAGAGCAGTAAAGGCTGATGGACACACACAGGGATGGAGTTGGTTCTTATCCATTCTCTAACCCTTGCTGTGCATGTATCCTTCCTTATCCCAGAAGGGTCTATGGACTGTGTGGACTGTTTTGGGTTAAATACTTTAGAGGGTTAAAGAAATAGAGATTGGGTTTTGAAATTATTACTACTTTCTTCCCATAGAGTCTTGATCAGAATTGGGGCCTAGTTACAGATTGATCTTCAATCCAAGAATTGTGATAACTTTTGAAAAATCAAAGTTTGTCAGGAGCTAAAATAATTTTGATTTATTTTTGCCCTTTTTGTTAGACATCTCCCATCTACTAAGAGGTGCATATGCAGAGGGAAAGGAGGGTCTAAATGAGACTCTGGCCTATTTCCAGTGTCTTGGAAGCAGGGTGAAGGTAAGGGAGAAAGGCCGTAGTCCAATCACTCTTGCTTCTGATAGAGAACTCAGATCTCAGACTATGATATTACTGTTTTCTTTCTGGCCTTTTCTCCTGACTAGAGGAGGAAGAAATGGGAAGTAGTTTTGAGTAATGGTTCACAGTACTTCCTTTTTGGCGTTATTTTCCATCCCCTTTCTACCAAAAGGGCAATAGCCCCTGCCCTGGATGGGTATAAGGTGGGCTTGGTCTAACAGGTGCCCTGAGGAAACAAACTCCTTTTGGAGGAGAGAGACTCCCTACCATGTAGTTGACAGTGGTTAGGAACTCTCCTTTTCCCTACCTACCTTCCCTCTAACAGCAGAATTCCTGTCCTTCTCTCCTTGATTAAGTGTATTGATCACCTTGTAATCCTATTATGTATCTGAGTGTGTGTGTGTGTTATGGGGGAAAGGGGTTCTTCAAAATTTCTGTGGTTTGTGGCTTTTTCTTCCATACATTAGTTTCTACCACCGCATGCCCAGGGACCATTGCCTAGCATTATCGCATGCTGGGATCATTGGGGGAGGGTAGTGAAGCTCACCACTGTCCTATGTTTTGGAGATTCTTATTTTTGCATAAGTAGTCCATTCTATACAGATAGCTGACTAACTGTGTATTCCCCTTGCCCCTATGGCTGCTGGTGTAAATAAACTGCATCTCCCCAATGGTAAACAGTAATAATAAACAAAATTTTAAAAAATGACTGTATTTGGACTCTGTTCATCTTTTAACTTGCATATGTTTTTCAGGCATAGGCATTGACATAGTAAAACAAATGTTAAATTACTGTTGAGCCCGAGTACTTTCTCCTAAATGGGAGTTTTATCAAAATAGATAGAGGTACTCTGCCTAGCCTTGTTTCTCAATCTAGTCCTGCAAATTTAGCTTTATGCAGCATCCAGTGAAAGAACCAAACTATATACAATTCTCCCTTTTCTGTATGAGTGAACAAGTGATTCTAGTTATATGACCAAAAGCCCATGGTGAAAGATAATCCATTTTGAATGGAACTCAATGCAACTTAATATATACATTTTACCATCATTTTAAGCTAATATCCTTGCTCTGAAAAAGCAAATGATACATGGCAGAAAATGATTCTGCCTTTCTAAAGGTAATTTCTTTCTTAATACTTTTTTTAAAAATTTTACCCCAATACTTTTAAGTCTTTCATTTTGTTTTTAACAGTACTTCTGAGGTTTTGTATGTCTTCCAATTCCTAATCTGGAGTTTGAGCACTTCCCCTAAAAGTTGTACATAATTATCCTGAATGTCGAGCAGAAGTTAGTAATATTGCCTTCTATATTAGGACCTGTGTTTTAAAGTGTCTCAGAATTTTAAAAAAAAATGTTTTATGAAGTGAGAATATGTGCTAAAAGCACATTTATTAAACATTCACATTAGTGTTTAAAATAATTATGGTTAACAAATTGTCAGTATTCAAATCAGCTGGAGATAACATCAGACATTGGAAGTTTCACTCTGCAGTGAAGGGGTTACAAGCTTTTTGGTTCTCATTTATGTTCCAAAAGATGCCTGTGATGTCACTTCGGGGGAAAATATTACAAGTGTTGTGCTTGTTCAATAAGATTTTGCAGAAAGCGTTTTAAATCATAGTATTTGAGCTTCATTGAAAATACGTGAGCTAAAAAAGGAAATGGTAAATTGGTTTTAGAGATGGAAAAATATGTTCAACAGCAGTGACTTGTCCACAGTTCAAGGGAAAAATCCACAGGTGATAGAAGCAAAAGCAAAATGCTGGTGTTGTGACTCCTAGGTCTGTGGTCTTTGTTGAAGGAATAGAATAATTAATAAAGAACTAATTAAAAAAAACTACAGTTAGAATAAAAAGAACATGATACTTATGAACAACTTTAATTCATTGAATTGGAAAATAGATTAAAAGGAAGTCTATTTTAAAATATAACTCATCAAAAGTAACTCAGATTTTTAATACTTTAAATAAATGGATACATATATAACTTAAAAAAATCCATTCCATCTCTACCCCAATACACACATAAAAACACCAGACAGTTTTACAGACAATACAGCAAACAACCAAATAAGCCAAATATGTAGATTTAAAAAAAAAAAATGATGTTAGCAAACCAACTCCTTTAAAATACCAAAAGTAAACATTGGGTTAATCATAGGACAGCAACATTTCAATTGAGAAAATCATCATATTACTATTAGAGAAAAAACGTAAAAATTTCAATAGATGTCAAAAAATAATTTGATAAAATTTAATACCCGTCATTGCCTAAAAGTAATGGCATTAACAATATGAAAAAGGATATATAGCAAAAATTTACAATTACTGTGCTAAATAGTAAGTTCTTGGAAGCATTCCCTTTAAAAGCAGGAATGGAAGAAACAAAATTCTCATTGTTCTCAGATGATGCCTACAGTGATAATTCTATGGAATGTACAAACATACTATTGTAAGAATGAGAATATAGTAAAGTTGCTGGATATAAGATCAATATCCAAAACGAAACTAAAATTTAAAAAGCTAAATTTAGAATATAATGCAAAAAATTATAATGGCCCTATGAAATAATACAAGAAAGGTTTTAGATTTTATGGAAAAAATCATGAAGTTTTCTTCTAATATGTTGGAAAAATCCCAAATAAATGGAGAGAGGATGTTCATGGATAGAAAGTGTAATATCATTGCTCTAAATAAGTGAATTAAAAGCAATCTTGATTAAAATACAAATAGACATGTTCATGGAACTTGACAAAGTCATTTTAT